CTTACCACCTCTGACCTCCTGCTGCATATGAATAATTGTTCTCATGGTGATTTAGTCTCCTGGGATCCTTTGCAGCTGAACACTTTGCTTTATATCTATTATATGTCCTATTTGCAAAATAAAACAAAATTTGTGTATATTTTTTTTGTTTCTTGAGACAAGGCCTCATTTATATATATATATGTGTGTGTGTGTGTGTATTGAACTATATTAGCAATTTAACCTAAGTTACTCCATCTTGCTCAGAATAGCTATTTTAACAGTAACCTCTTTTCACTTATGGGAAATATTTAAAAAGAGACAACAGTCTTGAGTTCTAGGAAATATCTCAATCACAAACCAGTGGAACGTGCTAATCTCAGACATTTTACATCTGGCTAACTGCCTGTTTTCACTTCTGTAACTTGCTATTTTACGTCACCTTGACACAAAGTATAAGACCCCCCTGTTGTTGTCTGACCACCGGTAGCTGCTGATTCCAGCTTTCTTACTATACTTGTTATGGCTAGGAAGTTGACTAATTTTAAAATTACAAAGTTGATTGCCAAGTTATATGACTGTATCACTTGTCTGTATAGTGGTTGGTTGTTGATTAATAGATTCAAAGTTCTGCTATGTTGTACAAACCTGATTGGTTCACAAGTGTCCTGTTTGAATAATATTTCTATAACCCTATAAAAACTCATACCCAACAATGATCAGGGCTGCTTCTACTCTTAATATAGACAGCCCAGACAGTCAAAATAATAAACATTTACCTTGCTACTTTTCTTAAAGTGGTGCTGGTGATTTTTTTTTTTTTTGCGAACTCTGACCTATAACATATATATAAAATGCAGGCTGTCCTTGAACTTTTCTCTTGCCTCAGTTTCTCAAGTGCTAGGATAAAAGGTATGCACCACCAGGCCTTGCTTGTTTTTAGAGAAAGTGTTTCACTATGTAGTTCAGGCAGTGACTGTTACCTAATGGAGGCAATTCTGTCACCATACATAAGTATGGTAATCACTGATGTGATGAGTTTTACAAGAGTGTATTTACAAGGTGTCCAAATATGAAAAGGATCCCAAATTCTCAAGTAGGCCTTGAGAGGCCTAGAGGGAAGGTTTAGGTCTATTTATGGGATACTAAGGGTGTTCTGAGGCCTGATGGAGGTAAAGTGAGGCAATCTACAGTCTGTGTATGAGTGCCCATATGTCACAGCTCTCCATTGGACTCTTGTTCATAAATGCAGCCTTGGCAAATGAGAGTGAGTTAGTCCTCATTTGTTAGCTCTCTGGTGTCAAAAGGCCACCCAGGGGATGGTTGCACAGGCCCAAGTGGAGGGTCAGTGTTTTCAATGGATTTGGCCACCCCTAGTTCCTAAGAACAACTCAGGCAGCCATTACCAGTGTTTGGAAACATGCTGCTCAGCTGAGCAATCTCTAAAACCGGTGATAAGTGAAACTAATGGGTTTATCCAGCCTTTTCCTTGGCTTCAACCGTTACTTTTCATGTTCTCAATAATTTCCAACTCATAATCTCTAAGCCTACTACATATGATTCTCCATATTTGTTTATTTTTTGAGACAGGGTCTCCCTGTAGCCATAGCTGGCCTGGAACTCACTATGTAGATCAGGCTGGCCTTGATCTCACAGAGATGCACCTGCCTCAGCCCCCCAGATGCTGGGATTAAAGGCATACACCACCATGTCCAGTCAATTTATTTTCTTTTACTACTGTAACAAATATTTTTATTACAAAATGCCAATGAGTACATTCTTCCTATCTAATATTCCAATTAGGTAATTACAACTCAATTTAGTAAATCCCGTAGCTCAATATTTGAGATTACTTTTATGCTTTCCTTTAGTTTTCATCTTTTGTATTGCCAAGGATAGAACCCAGGACTTCAGCATGGGAGGCACACATCCCACCACTGAGCCCCATGCTAGCCCACTTTCAGTATAACTAAGAATGCAACTGAACCATTTCTGTAAACTGTAGAAATCCTTGCTATCCTCAAGCTAGGTTTCCACAAATTAGAGTACTAGAGTTGGAAGTATCTCACCGAGTACTGAGCCTTCTGCATCAAGCCAGTGCTGCACTGCACCTAGGGCAATGCAACAACAGAGAAGGGGGTCTGTGACACCTTATTCCATCCAAGGCCCAGGGCTCCTAATGTCCATGTGGATGGTTGCTGGGAAACAACCAAGGAAGAACAGCAGACACAGAATACTCAGGTAAAAGCAAGGGAGGAGAAGGGGGCTGGAGAGGGTGTGGGTAGATCAGACTGAAGTCCAACAGGAGTTGCTACAAGATTTAAGGACCATGATCTGCCCAGGTACATGTAAGTGCTGGGGAGGTAGAGAGCCCGGAGAAGTTTATTCTACAAAAGATTCAGGAGGAAGCCAGGTGCAGTGGGACATGCCTTTAATCCCAGCATTTGGGAGGCAGAGGCAGGCAGATCTGAGTTCAAGGCCAGTCTGGTCTACACAGGGAGTTTCAGGCTGGCTAGAGATACAAGGAGACCCAGGAGGAAACCCAAGGCAATTTGATCAGGGCGAGGGTTAGGGGCAATGGACAGCTTTAAAAGTGGCAGGATGAGCATGAGGGTGACAGGAGGTAAGAATCTGGTATGGCCTCAGGCCTGAAGCTTAGATGATTTAAAAAAATATAAAGCATAGAAAACAAATGAATAGAGTGGGTAGGGGAAATATCTCTTACAAATTCAAAGTGTCTTAGCATCCTCTGGACAGTCACAGGGTCCTTTACAGATAATCTTGATGGGCACTAGTTCAATAACCAACTGAGGGAGTGACCTTTAGGTCAGCTGGAGCTGGGAGTTAATGCACAACACAGACATGGAGCTGTCTACGCGATCAGGTCCACAGAAGGGATAAAGCTGTTACTGGTGGTCTAGTTATGGTATTTCCAGGTTCTTGGCATCATATTCAAGGAAATGAAATAATTGCACACCTTAACTGTATGGTGGTGCATGCCTTTAGTCCCAGCACTCAAGAGGCAGAGGCCAGTGGCTCTCTGTGAGTTCAAGGCCAGCCTGATCCACATAGTGAGTTCCAGGCCAGCTGGAGCTACAGGGTAACCCTGTCACAAAAAGACCAAAAAAAAAGAAAAAATAATAATTGCACACCTTAAAATAAGCAAGGTAACTTTATTTAAAGCAAAGCAATAATACAGGTCATATATGCTGTCAAGAGTGACAACAGGCCATATGAGTGAAAGTACGCAAGGGCTCCAGATCATTGCCCAGGGCTTCTTTTATGGAGTCTAAAGGAAGGAGGAGTTACTATTGGCATAATTTGAGTAGTTCTCTATTTTGAATGACAGGCTTCTATTACATTACCCCTTGGTCCACTGCATATGGCACTTCCCAGAATGCATCTGATTTTAATTATATGCATACCCAATTATGCATAGGTGTAAGATGGTAAAAAGGAATTCTTCCTATCTCTCTAAAAGTTCATTCAGAGTGCACAGTACACAGTTTGCCTTAATGCACATGTACCCAAAACCAGTCCAGAACAGATCAGCCTCACTACTTTCATACCTGACATAACTACAGTATGACTGAATAGAATGTAATTTTAATGGTCATTAAGTGGAGGAGAAACTTATTCCATGGTTCATAGTGGGGTATGCATGCTGCGCAATGCAGGGCAGGGGTCCCAGGTTGCTAGCAGGTTGCTAGGTGCATTGTTTGGAGAGAGGTATATGTGAATAGTACATGCAGGTAAGAGTCTCGGGCTGCTGAGTGCATTGTTAAGAGTGTGTACATAGCCCAAACCAAGTGGAATCTCAGGTTGCTAAGCTATTCCCTATGCTTCCTTGCCTCAAATCCAGTAAGGGAGAACCTAGGACAGTATATGGCTTGTAGGGCAGCAGGGGAAGGACTCCAAGCATGTTCCACAGCTATCCTACAAGAAAAACATTAACCATGTGGAAAACCAGAGAGACATGTTGGAGGGACAGGGGACAGAGGCAGGGCCCAAGGTAGGACAGAGGGTAGGAACTTCACAAAGCTTGGAGATGTGACAGTCTCCTGAGAGTCATGACTCCAACCCCAGCACAAGGGTACAGGTTTCATACCACCCCTAAGGGTCTGTCTGCCTCTACAACATTGCTAAGAGGCAGAAAACATTCTTACCAATGTTTTTGGACATGTGGGGTGTCCCTGCAATTCCACAGCAATCGGTCTGTGTCTGTGATTTTCGCACATATTATGAATATTTTTCTGTTAGCACACCGAAGCAACATTTTATGTAAAGTTGTATGATTTTTACAGTTAGTATATTTTGTTTTGAGACAGGGTCATTGTATATAACTCAGGCTTGCCATCAATTCATATTTCTCATGTCTCAGCCTCCAGAGTACTGGGATTCTAGGCAATAATTTTTAATTTTTATGTAGCAAACTGTCAATACTTCCCTTTGTTCACTCTTTCACAACCTTCAGCAGTTATTTTTCTGTAGTACTACCCAAGGTCAAGTGTTAGGGCACAGGGACCACCTACTGCCATACTGACATGTCTCCTAAGGATGGAGTCACCCAGAGGTCCGAGAAGAAAATCTTGGTGGGCATCTATAGTTATCTATGGGCACAATGATAAAAGAGTTATGTATTTTCTTCTGGCTTTCTATATAAATAGCAATTTTAAGACCCATGCTCATTGTTTCTCAAAGTGTTCATGCCACCCCCTCAATGACTTGAGCCATGCCTTGCTTCACCCCTTACATGGGAAGAAACAGAGTGCCGTGGCCAGAGCTTTCTCTGCAGGCAATCAAGTGTGTTTAGAGAAAATCTCTGTCGGGGCCTCCAGCTTTCACTTCCAACAAAGCTCTAGCACAGTATGTCAGTGATCCACCCCCATCAGGACTGTAGAAAGCAGTGAAGACTTCTCCCAATTCCCACAACCCCATCACCCTGGCTCCTCCATTTCCATTGCCATGGACGGCATTTGAGACCTAGACCCATCTGGGCACCCCCTTAGAGACAGCCAGGGTCACACCAAGCAGAGTTTATTGAGGCCATGGGCTGGGCCCACGTACACAGCAGAACGCGCACGCAGGGCAGATACTCACTCGCTGGACTGCAGGGTTGTTAGCAGCAAAGCAGATGGCCTGTTGGAGGTGCCTTTTGGGGCACCCTCTCCTAACAGCATTGGGGAGCTTTGGGTGAACATCAAGAGCCACTTCTGTTTACCCTAAGGCTCTCTTAGGAACCCCTCCCTACTTCCCCTGAGCTCCCTGTAGGTTAGGCTTGGGGTCCCTTCCTGTGATCAAGGATGAGATAATCCCTTGAGATGCACTATAAAAATTAAAATTCATTTATAAATCACAAGAGGCCAGGAGGGAATAACTGGGGAACCTGACCTCACCAGTTACCCTAAACCCACCCGCCTCCCCCAAGTTCTGACTCCAAAAGAGAGAGCAAAGGGCAAGGTCTACAGGCACAAAAAGGGGCAGGAGACAGAGGAAAGGGAGCTGGAGGGACAAGACAAATGAGGATGACAGAGAAAATGTGCATCAGAGGAAAAGTGGGGCTGCTAGAATTCCTCTTCCCCGCAGCCCCCATAAGCTGTACCCCAGGGATAAAGGATGAGATTTCCCAGCCCAGAGACTCCAACCATGTAAGGTACCACATGTCCCCAATCCAGTCCTTGTGCAAGCCATGGTGGCCTACAGACACCCAGAGCCTCATGGACAGAGCTGAGGGTGGTGGATGCTACTCCAGGTAGATGTCCTCTGTGGGGCAGGCAAATGCCAGGTGCTCCTGGTAGTATTCCAGGAAAGCGCGGCTGCAGAAAGGGAGAGGGAGAGAATGATGCTCAACCTAGTGCTCTCTCCTACCTTTTCCCTAGCCATGCATTATTTCCCTGCCCTGCAACTATGTCTACACCACAGCACATTTCTAGCACTCTTCATGCCCCACCCATGCACCTATGCCTTTCTATCTCTTGTACCCTCCCTGGGCTCTTGCCCCATCTTCCCACTCACCCCACACTCTGTGCCACTGGTCTCATAGACTCCTGGGACACAAAGACATGGCAGGCGAAGCGGCTTAGCAGTGGGTGTTTGGTGATGAAGCCAAAATAGCTGTGAAGAAGTTGGTGAAAGAGACGTTAGAGTACTGAACCAGCCTTAGGCACCCCACTAAAGGTCTAGAGAGAAAAAGCAGGAAAAATGGCTTGGGGAGTGGGAAATCACATGATTTCAAGACTTGAAGGTGCATTTTGGGGGTTTCAACCCAAGTATTGTGCTGGACATCCAAAGGAGCTAGTGTTCTGAGTTAATTCCATAACCTTGGGCCTCCATCCCATGCAAGGGCCAGAAGCATGTTTTTCTTCCTGAATACCCCCTAATCTGCTCCAGTATTGTAGTGCATAGGTCTAGACTATTCTGTTGACTGTCCCCACCCCCAGCTGGCTCAAGCCTCTATGGGTCTATCTTATCCTGTAAGCACAGTTCCTTCTTAAGCATTGATATATCACTGGAGATCAGTGTATCTCTAAAATCTTTTTTATCCCATCTCTCACCAATTGGTGAAGGACTTCCCCCTAAATACTCCAGTCATTAATATCATTCCTGCATGAAATGTCTTCTTCTTCCAAGATAATAGCAACTGTTGTCCAGATGAGCAGCATGAGACTGCAGACCCCAGTGCACCCACAAACTGTAGCTGAGATCCACTGCCCCGTGACTAACAGATATTACTTATAAACAATACTAAGGCACCCTCCTAAGAACTTTATATTGTTAACTCATAGATGCCTCACAACAGTCCTATGAAGTAGATGTACTGACAGAGATAAGCACAGAGAACATAGTATCTTGCTAAAGGGCACAGTCTGTGGCAGCAATGAAGGTAAAGGAGGCAGTCTGTGATCTTAAAACCATATATCCCTACCTTATCCAAGCATAGCATACCAAGCACTCCTGAAGTAAGTACTACTCATGTCATAGTAATGTAAGTTAACCATCTACCTAGTACTCTTTCCTTAGTACCCCTCACAAAGGAACTGGGATGGATCTTGATGCACCTTCCTCTTAGAATTGAGGCTGGACCAGTGTCCAGCCTAGAGGCCAAATCTTATAGGATCCATGATATGTTTTTTATTTCTTGGCAGTACCATCCCAAGCCCACTGTCCTTGTGGCCCCAAGGGCAACAAGTTAATTCTGGCCTAAGGAATGGCACTCTGTCTTGGCTCATACCCCACTGAACAGCAGCTCAACAGTGGATCTCATCAAATCATCTCCCTTCTCAGTGGAAAAGAGGTAAAACCACAGTTGACCTTGGTTCAGATATTTCTATTTCATTTTATTTTATTTATTTCTCTATTTTGGGGTTTCTGGTATTGAATCTAGGACTTCAAACATGCTAGGAAAGTAAGCAAGTGCTTGCCCATCAATCTACATTCCCAGCCCTCTTTATACTTTTTTTTTTCACTAGGTTACCCAGACTGGCCTTGAACTTGAGGTCCTCCTGACTCTGTCTCCTAAACTGTTGGGATAACAGGCCCAGCTTGACTCCACTTCACTTGCTATAAACATGCTGATATACTTTTTCTTCATTATTGTCTTTTCTATGCAAGTTTTATTTTCTTTTTTTAAAATTTTATTTATTTACTTTTTAATTTTATGTATATGCATGTATTGCTTGCATGTAGGTAAGTACACCCATGTCGTGCAATGCCCTCGGAGGTCAGAAGAGGCTTTCAGATCCCCTGGAACTGGAGTTACAGACAAGTTGTTAGCTGCCATGTGGATGCTGGGATTCAAACCCAGGTTTTCTACAAGAACAACCAGTGTTCTTAACCGCTGAGCCATATCTCCAGCCCTGCAAGTTTTATTTTCAAAACTGGAAACATGCTAAACAAAAACACTGAACATGTGTTCATTTCTATTTATAGAAATTTAATATATAGCTGGGCATGTTGGCACATGCCTTTAATTCCAGCACTCGGGAGGCAGAGGCAGGTGAATCTCTGAGTCTCTGTGAGTTCAGCCTGGTCTACATAGTGACTTCCAGGCCAGCTGGGACTACAGGGAGTCCCTGTCTCAAAAAGACCACCCCCCCACAAAAAAAAGAAAAAAGAAATGTAATATATGATACCAAATGATATCTCAAATTAATGGAAACTGCTTTTTTCTTTCTTTCTTTCTTTGATGACAAAATTTGTGTGTGTGTTAGTGTACAACATGTTTTGATATATGTGTGCATTGTATAATTGCTTAATCCCACTAATAAACATTGAATTAAAAAAAACCTGCAGTTGATCATTTCTAGTCAGCAGACAGGGCTCATTCCCAGCACAAGAATCCCAGTGATTCCAAAGACATTTGCCACCTACCACAAGCCTCTCTCCAGCAATATCCTGCCTATGCTCTATCTAGCCTGCCTTCTATGAGAACATCTTCCTCTAGCTCTCTCCAGGCATCTACTGGCCTCTACTTGGCCATCTCCTCGCCTTCATCTAGGACACTAGGACCCAGTAGGCAGGGGTTTGTGCTTGGGAAGAAAACTGGCAGCACTCTTACTGCCTGCTCTTTCCTTTCTCTTCTCATACTATCTGGCTTTTTTGTCTGCCTCATTTCTCCGTTATCCACCTGGTTCAAAATGAAACCTTTCTCAAAGTCTCCTTCCTAAACTCCAAGACAGAGAGACCAACTTACTTAGGCCTCATTATTGGCTATGTTTGGTCTCACATCTCCTTCTATGTGTATGGGTCCTATCTTCCCATCACCCAATATCACCCTTCATCTCCTTCAGGTTCTAAAGCCCATCAACACAGTCCTACCTGTCCTGCCTCTTAAATGCCTCCTGAATGTACACACTTCTCAAAGCACTGTACCTGGATACTTAAAGCAACTACCTAGTCTCATACTGGCAGCATCTAGTCATCCTACTTTACACAACAGCCAGAACCAGCCTGACTGGGTCATATCCACCCACAAGGACCAATGGGATGAAGCATACAAGTCTTCGCATAGTCAAAAGGGCAAACATCTCTACTGAAACTTCAGCTGTTACCTTACACCCAGCTGCTCCCCTTTCTACCAGGCCCCAGAACCCTGATCTTTCACACATGCATCCTATAGTTTTGGCTCCTCTGGTTCTGATATGATCCATTTCCCCAGACCCTGTCACTGGCTCATCTTTTGAGCTTTGCCTTCCTCAGTTAAAGAAAACTTGCCCCATCTGCAGTTCTGCCCAGGGCACCCATTCAGAAGACACCCATATTACCCAAAGATGCTCCTTGCACTTCCTTGTCTGAGCCACCCAGGATGGGAACCTGTCTTCTCCCAGGACCAGGATGAATAGGGCACCATATGGGTACAGGTAGAGCCCTTAGAGTAGGTGGGGATTGGAGAACAGGTGACCCTCCGCATTTCAAAGAACCTAGAAGGCACAGGTAAGTCTCTTACCAGCTGTTGCGGGGATGACAGCCACAGAATGAGATGTTCTTCATCTGGAAGAAGTGGCTGCAGCGCTGGAACTAGAGCAGAGTTGGATAAAGGAAGTCTATGGCCACTCCTACTATATGCCTTCTAGATGTCCCTGCCAGATCCTTTTCCTTGGCTTTACCCGCTCCACCCCCAAGCTTCCCCCTGGTCCCCAGTCTCCCACACTCCCACCTCAGGCCCTCCTCCACTCAGACTCAGCTTGACTCCCCGCAAAGAGATCTCAAGGTCACAAGAGGCAGGGGGGCGCAGGTGGACAGTCAGTTTCCGGGCAGTGGCAATCTAAGGAAGAAGTTGGGGAAGAAAGAGGATCTTGAAGAGCCTACCATGGCCTCTCTCCCTTCCATTAGAGCAACTATGCCTCTGTTCATTCTAGACTATCTGAATACTCATGGCAGGCCCCTCAGACACAATTATAGAAAATGAGAGGGTAACCTTGGCCACCCTTGCTCTCAGAATAAGCCAATCATTACTCTGTATCTAGCCTGCCTCATCTCCTTTCTGTTCCTCCAACCAAGCTTTTGGGTCAGGTGCCAAGAATTTGTTCCACCTACACCTCCAGCCACTACAGAGCCTGGGCCCCATAAACCAACAGGAGCTCTTTGATGTAGGGCTAGTCTGACCTGCTGCCTAAGACCCATAGCCTCAATTTCGGGCTGACAGCTGAGCAGGTGTCCATAATTGTCCAGTAAGTGAATAAATAAGTGAAATAAGTGAGCAAATGACTCCCAGGGAAGGGGATAAAAGTGCTGGTCTTAATTTTCAGACAGGAAATTGACAGTTCAAAGAGGGACCAGTAGAAAGGAGAAAGCCTTACTGAACTGACCAAAAGTCCTAGAGGTAAAGGGGACAGCTGCTGCACTCTAGCCTACCAACTTGGGCTCTGAATCAGGCCCTAAAAGGCAAGTCCTACAGTGTCTCCCATACTATTCAAGGCGGGAGGCCTTGGAGCCACAGGGGCTGTGCTAGCTTGTGGGGCTGGGGTGACATCCATGTAGGCCTCCAGCCAATCCTTACCACTTTCTCCACACTGACCTTCTGCATGGCTGCACACAGGATGCCATTGCCTTGGTGACATGGCACCTCCACGGAGCCCAAGAACTGCACATCAAAGCGCTCTATCCAACAAGGGCTCCGCTTGCTCCCTGGTGGGGTGGGGAGAAATCCAATGGGCCCAAGTCAGGGGGTAATGAAGAAAAGTCTGAGGTGATATTCCTCCCCTTGTGGATGGGTCTTACCTAACAGGTCCTTAGCAGGACCAGGCACTGCATGGGCATAGAAGGCAGGGAACACACCACGCTCGCCAGTACGCATATTGAAGCCACGAAACCAAAAGTCATCTTCTTCAGCCTCAACCAATACTGGGTCATCCACATCTAGCTCCAGTTCGTCCGGATGGCGGGGGATGAACCTGAGGTTATCAGGGCCCAAAAGGTCAGTGGATTTCTCAGGTCAGTGAGAGATCATTAGACCAGGCAGGTCTCGCTGTGTCACATCCTTCAGTATCGTAAGGTATCTATGGACTAGGGCTGGGAGTCACCATAGGTGAGGAGGTTGTTGTACCTGAAGACAGCCCGATGTGTCTGCTCTCTCTCCTCCCCATTGACCAGACAGGAAAAAAGACCAAAGGACTCAGTGCCTGAGAGACAGACAGGACAGACAGAGATGGAGAGAGTCAGGGACTCAAAAGGGAGAGGTACTTAAGGTCCTGGCCTTGGGCTGGATCCAAGACCCTCCCCCACAACAGGCTGTTGTTAAGTGTCCTAAGTTAAGGAAGGAGGAAAGACTAGCCCACTAGAGACTGGGGCAGAGCAGTACTCCTGATCAGTGGGGAAGATTACTGCCCATATCCTAGGAAAAAGGGCTTTAACCACTCCTAGAACTTCAGGCCTCTTGGGCACTTTGGGGGACCAGATAAGACCTAGGGCCAGGGTGGTACTTAATCCTCTGGGGCCACCCTGCCTTCCCCATTTCCCACTCACTGGAGGATCGAGATGTGCTGTTGACAAAGACATTGAGGAACTTCTTGGAGAAGGTGAGGTCGGGACTGTCTGGAGACTCATTCCCTGGGACCTGGTCACCACCTAGTAGTGCAGCCCCGGTCTCTTCCTCACTGGCCTCACCACTGCTGTCCTCTTCACTGTCGTTTCCCAGGCCTGCACAGCGCCGTAGGCTCACCAGCTCTAGCTGCGTGTGTTCATCCACTACTAGTGTGTATTTAACTGCATCATACACCAGCGAAGCATCCAGCGGTACAGCAGAGCCTGTGTCTCTGGAACCAGGGGGAACTATGCTGTCCTCTGCATCGTCCTCCTCCTCTTCATCATCCTCGTCCTCCTCCTCTGAGCAGGCAACAGAGCAGGAGCGTCCAGGGCGGGCAGTGCGGCCAGGTGCAGCCCAAAGCGGTGTGATGGTATCCCGGGTCGGGTTACTGAGAAAAAGGCAGGGCCCAGGCTGCACAGGGCCAGGCCGAGGGGCTGCGGGAGCTGATGGGGGTGGCCCACACAGGGTCTCCATGTCCACCAACTCCACGTGGGCACCTGCCACTGCCTCGGGGTCTTGGGAGTCCTCAGTGGTCCCACAGGCCTGTGATGCAGGCTCTCCTTGCAGGCGTGCTGCAGGAGACAGGCACTGACCAGGGCAACGAATGGGTGAGGAGCCCTCTGAGATCATGCGGCTCACCAGGTTGCTGAGCAGCCAGGGCGAGTCAGCATCCTCACTGAGGTCAGGCTCAGACTCAGAGCCAGACTCATACTCGCTGTTGGTATCATCAGGGCCCACAGGCAGGAAGGCAGGTCGGCGGGGAGGTTCCTGCAGCCGCTCAGGCTCCGGCTCAGGCTCGTGGTCAGGCTCTGAGGCCGGTGATGAAGCCTCTTCGATGGAGTTGGTGAGGTGGGAGGAGCGGCCGCTACTGCTACTGCCTCCATCACTGCTCAGCTCCAGCTCTGTCTCAGAGATGGAGGAGATCATGCGCCCCAAGCGTGCACCACCTGCATCCTCAGAGTCTGAGCCTGGTGATGAGAGCTCCTGGCTGCTACGACGACCCTCATGGCCCCCACTAGAGTGGCTTCTCAGGTCAGCCTCAATACCAGGGTCGGAGGAAGGTGAGGCACCACCTGATGCTGGTGGCTCTGGAGGCTCATTCCCTTCACAGTCACAACCAGGGTGCACCAGAGACTGTACCTCATGGGGCTCCTCTTCAGTGGGCAGGAGGGGGGCTGGGAACTCTGCAGGGCAAGGAATTGGGCCACCATTACCAAGAACCAGGCCTCCTTCCAGGGAACCAACCATCTCCCTCCTTCCCTCTCCTGTTGGGTCCCTACCAGGCCCCATCCCTCACCTCTAAGGGGCTCCTGAGCTGGTGAAAACAGCACAGTCTCTTGCCAGGAGGATGGGAATGCAGGGACAAAACCTCCATTGTTGTTCAGGGAATCCTAGGTAGAAGTATAAATCAGCATGGTGAATAGGGCTCCAGTAACCAAGAGTGGGAGGGACCTGCTGCATGACCTGCAGGCTCAGCTCTTACTACATGTGTCAGGAAGCTCACCTGGGTTCCCAGTGTAGTCAGGTGGAGTGTGGTGGGCCTGTGCTTGTGCAGCTCATCCAGGGAAGGAGAAGGAATAAGGGATTCCCCAGCAGGTGCCTCTGAGCCAGGTTCTCCTTCTTTGCCCTCCCCATCTCCCTCTTCCTCCTCTTCCTCCTCTTCCTCCTCTTCTTCATCCTCTTCCTCCTCCTCATTGTCATCAATCATTTCAAATTCCTGGAAATCATCTTGGAAGGAACAGATAGGATGTGGCTGCTCCGAGCGCCCTAGGGAGAGGCTGTCCTGCAGGAAGGAGGGACAGAGCAGGGCTGGGCCATAATACAATAACCTGCAGTCCCAGGTGTAAGGAGACAGGAAAGCAAGGAACAGGAGGAAGAGCTCCTTCCAGTTCACTATCTCCCACCAACTGAGCAGTGTTTGTTTCAAAAAAAAAATCTTCTTAAGATACATAGTGACATCGTGATCTCTATGAGATCAAGGCCAGTTTGGTGCACATAGCAACTTCCAGGCCAGCTGTGGGGTACAGGGAGACCCTGGTTCAAAAAAACAAACAAACAAAAAAAATACAGAGTGATCACTCCATTTCTTGGGAAGAGCCCAATTTTCTGGGACAGTGTCAGAGGAGTAGCCTCAACCAACCTTTAAGTCTCATTCACCCCCAAACCCCATCACATTTGATAGTGCTACTTTGTTGCTTTCATGGCATTTTAACACTTAATTCACAGCTCATGGCTTTTGATCTGTTTCACCCACCAGACTGCAAGCCCACTAGAGCATGGTCATGTCCACATCATACAGGGTGCCCTCACCTATGGGAATAGCACCAGTAAGTAACAAATAAATGTATAAATGAAGAGAAGCTGAGCGCTGATGATTCACCAAGCTTGCACCAACCCCAGGGCCTTTGGCACAGTCAATCCTTCTGCCAGCAATTCCCTCTTCCATACCCTCCTACCTACCCCCATCTGCTTGGTTCCTGCTAACCTCAGGACATAGCTGACAGTTTGGGAAGTCTTCCTGATTCCCTCAACTTGGTTTGGATTCCCTTCCCCCTCATCACACCTTGTGACCCATTGGAATCCAGCTACCGACATATGGGTGACCATTATCTCTCACATGTGTTTCTTCTCTGCTAAGGCGAAAGCTCTGGAGGACAGCTGTCTTGCTCCATTCCCAACACGGGGAAGTTCCCAGCACTTGACACATGGCATTTGCTCAGAACAAATGAAAACAGAAACATGTAGAGACAGAACCAGAAGGCAGAAGACAAAAGACTAAGGGAAGACAAGACATAAATAGAGGCCACAGAGGTTGAAATAGAAGCTGGAGGGGTTAGATCTTTGTGGGAAATGATCTGAAGACTGAGGGCACCCAAAGCAAAGGCTTGCCTCCCCCCACCTCTTGTGGCACTGTGATGGGGAGAACAGCGGGAGAAGGCCCTCTGTGTGTTAGGAAAGAAAACCAAGAGGCTAATAGCAAGGACAGAGGATTCACTCTTAAAGCCACAAGAATGCTGGGCAAACTGAGCCTATGTGAGGCTTTTCCCACCTTTTCCCCAGCCCTTTCCCCACCTTCTCGCAGTGGTCTGAGTCGTAGCTAAGGCCCAGGCCACAGTCATCGGTGATCTCAGACAAGTCTTCATCATCAAATTCTTCCAGGCTTATGTCCTGGGGAGGCCTGAAGAGGATGCCAGGGTCAGAGAGCCACCAGTCCTAGGTTCCTGGCCTAATAGCTGGTCCTAAGGACATTGGTGAGAAATGTCCAGCTCCCAGGGCCCCCAACACCTAGGCTTATAGACATGTCATTTTGACCCCAAGTACTGTTCTCTAGTGAATTCCCTCCCCCATCGGAGCCAATGAGCCCAGAGGAGCCATCCTCCCCCCAACCCCTCCCACCCCTCCTCACTAGGCTCCCAGTCCCTGTGGGTCACAGCTTCAGCCTCCAGGGAAACACCTCTAGTGTACAGGGGGAGGGGTAACTGAAGCTTCTGCAGCAGGAGACAGCAGGGTCAAGCTAAACTCTACCTCCGCGTCTCCACCCCACGAACCAAGAAGGCCTACACCCTAAGGTCCAGCCCCTTCCCACCCAGACCTGCCCTACCCCAGCCCCAGGGGCTTCACGCTAGATTTCTACTCCATCCCTTCCTAGGCGCTAGGGGCCAGACCCTAGCCTCCTTGGGAGGAGGCCCAACAAGGCCAAAAGGATACTGCTAAGCATAGACTAGGTGCTGGGCACCCTGCCCAAAGCCTCTTAAAGGGTCAGTCTAGCAACTGACAGGTCATCTGTCCATGGGTGCGGCTCAGTATCCCAACGAGAAATGTAGGGGATGCCACTGGGTCTGGGCGACCAGAGGCCAAAAAAAAACAAAAACAAAAACAAAAACAAAAAACCAGAAACGGAGGGGCCCCGGTCCAGGATGGGGGATGGGCAGCATCAGTCCGAGGCCTGGACCACAGAGGCTCCCTGGCCTGGGTCGGTGAAGTCGATGGAGAAGGGTGGCAGACCAAGGAGAGCTACGGGAAGGTGAGGCCCGCCAGTGCTGCGGGATCGAGTGCGTACCTGCAGCCCGGAGGAGACAGCGAGTGGAAGGTGGAGAGAGAAAACATCTCCGCGCGATCCGCCATCTTCCCGGGAACCGCCGGACGGCTGCGAGGGGGAGGGGTAAGGAGCACCGCGCGCCCTTGGTGCTCCGCTCGCGGCCGGGGCCTCCCCGCTCACCTCGTGACACGCCCTGCGACACCCGCCCGCGACACACCTCAGCGCCCTGCCAGGACACCGCGGCAGCCCGCGGTGCAGGGGTGAGGGGAGGGAGTGGCGCAGGGCGGGGCCCGGGGGCGGGGAGGAGGGGGCCGGGGGAGGACAGGGGAGAGGGAAAGAAAGGAGGGGGGAGGGCCGAGGGTGGGCAGCGGAAATACCGCGGCAGGGGGACGGGAAGGGGACGCTGCTGGTATGGAGGTTGTGGCTGGGAGAGCTGGCGTGGGGGCTTTGGAGGTCTCAGGGCCAGGACCAGGCGAGAAGGTACCGGTGGGGGTCGGGGCCCGGGCCGCAGGCCAAAGTTCTGCGGGCGCCGAGGGGATGAGGGAGAAAGGAGGGCGGTAAATGAACCAGGACCACGGCGGCCTGGGTCTGCGCACCTCTTGGTAGCGGCGGTGTGCAGTGCTGGTTGGAGGTGGGTGGCTCGCCGAGGTGGGTGCGGCCCTAGGAGCAGCATTCACGCCCTGAGAATCCGCAGCGGTGCAGTCGGTGGCCAGGACTCTAACCTGACAACCAAACGGGCGCCTGGGGGAGCTGTCCGCCCGTGGGTGCTGATCAGCGCTAGTCGGAGCTGTTCCGCACTGGGTGCTGATTGGATCGACGAGGATTTCTCCCTAAAACATCCTAACCCTGGGACGGAAACAGCCATTTCCCTGACGGTAATGATGGGGACTGGCTGGATAGCGATACTAGCCCAAAGGATGCAGATGGGGCCTGGATCCAGAGACCACTAGCCAGAGACCAACACTGAACTTTCTGTGTTTGGTACAGAGTGCAGAGTCTGCAGAGAGATATTGGTGGGCACGGAAAGAAGTTGAAGTTACCTTCATTGAGGCAACCTATGCTCTTGGCTCTGTTCCAAGTATGGACAGCCTCCAGCCTGAAACTTGGGCTTGGTGAATTGTTCTTTGGAGAAAGCAAAGGCAGAAATGGAGCCAGTTGTAAAAGTGAGAGGGAAGATCAAAGTTAAGATGGGCAAACTAGAGAGGAAGAGGCAGGAAGCCTCTGTGAAGAATTGGTCCAAGATGGAATTATTTCTGGAGGAAGAATGAGGCATTAGCATATTAAGGCTGGAAATCACAAGCAAAGGAGCTAAGATTCTCAAAGAGGGAGACACCCTGCTCTGCCAGTTCCTTGATTTATGAACACTAACGATGTGTGATTCTCTCAATTCTAGTGACTTCTCTGTGAAAAGCCTCCAGTAGTTCTCAGGATTCATCTAGAACTGTACAACTTTGAAGTCATCTCAGATTATAACTACCATGCCCTCCATGAGCCTTTTTATCCAAAAGCCTTCCTCTTATCAGACAATACCAGATTCTAAAAATCTAAACAGCATGGGAGGATTTTACCACCCATTTTACCTGTGGAAGTTCACATCTAATCTCTAGAGCACAGGGTCTGAGAGATTGTGGTACTGATCTTTACCCACCAACTTTCTGAACGTAGGCCAATTGTTCGATGCATCAGAACTTCGGTTTCTTTCTCTTTTTTAAAATTTTATTTATTTATTTATTTATTTATTTATTTACTTTTGCCCTTTTGAGACAGAATCTCCCTATAGCCACAGCTGGCCTGGATTCACTATGGAAACCAGGCTGGCCTTGAACTCACAGAGATCAGCCTGTCTCTGCCTCCCAAGTGCTGAGATTAAAGGCATGCACCACCACACCCGGACCTTAATTTTGTATTTTCTTATTTTTATGTGTATGAGTGTTTTGCCTGCATGTATATAAGTGCACCTGTGTCATGCAATGCCCTCAGAGGCCAGAAGAGGATTTTGGATCCCCTGGAACTGGAGTTATGGATGGTTGTTAGCCACCATGTGGGTGCTAGCAAACCCTAGTCCTCTGCAAAAGCAGCCAGTGCTACTACATACTGAACCCACTTCTTGGAATTAATCCTCTGGTTTATATGCTGAGCCATCTCTCCAGCCCCCATTTTAGTTTTGTTTTTTGCGACAAGGTCTCTGGCTAGCCTGGAACTCACTAACTAGGCTGACCCCAAACTCACAAAGATCCACCAACCTCTCCCTCCAGAGTACTGGATTAAAGGTGTGTATCACCATATCCAGCTAAGACCTCAGTTTTTTCATCTGACAATGATGCTATGAAAATACCTGACACACATAAAGCTCAAAACACAATGATTTATGCATGATCACTTAATGTGCACCCTTCCCCTGCTCGTCACACTTGGGCCCAGCTCCTCTGAATACCTTAGGACCACTTTGTGCAGTCCAAGGATGTTAGTGAAAGGGAAGAACCTCCTTCCTAAGGGAGTTTGTATTTTTAGCATCATGATCTTTCAAACTTTTTTAAAAAATATTTTATTATTTTAATTGTGTGTGTATGAGTGTATTGCCTGCATGTATGTGAGTGCACCTGTGTCGTGCAATGCCGCGGAGGTCAGAAGAGGGCTTCGGATTCCCCTGGAACTGGAATTAAGGACGGTTTGTAGCTGCCATGTGGGTGCTGGGAATCAAACCCGGGTCCTCTGCAAGGGCAGTCAGTTCTCTTAACTGCTGAGCCATCTCTCCAGCCCCTTAAAACTTTTTAAAATTTTTATTTGTTATTTTTATTTTATGTGTATGCACATATTGCCTGCATGTAGGTAAGTGCACCCGTGTCGTGCAATGCCCATGGAGGTCAGAAGAGGCTGTCAGATCCCCTGGGACTGGAATTACGGACAGTTATTAGCTGCCATGTGGGTGCTGGTATTTGAACCCCGGTCTTCTGCAAGGACAACCAGTGTTCTTAACTGCTGAGCCATCTCTCCAGCCCCAGTATCATAAATTTTTAATCAAACTTGTGTATTTTCCTTATATTAGCCTCAGACCATCACTTGAAAAATGACAGATCCAGGTCCACAGGGAACTGAGCAATCCCTCTGGAAGTTCTTTCTTTCCTCTGATTGTGAGCCCCATGCATTATTGGTTTCTTACTGCCTGACTACCACTCTTGTTGTTAAGACTCCTTTCCCTCCTCCTAAAGTGGATTTTTTATTTATTTATTTTTTTCCTATGGTCCACCAATGGCATTGACAATTAGGCACAAAATTGATTGGGCTTATAAGGGCCACAGCAGTACCAAAGAGGTCAGAGGATATTCTCTGGCAAATTTCTCACAAATTTGAAAATAAACAAGTGCAAGCCTCCAGTCTTTTACTTCATTCATAGTGCACAGAAGCCACAAACATAAAATAAAAATGCCCATGAATAAACCGAAAATAACATTATTTAATAAAGATGAAGAGTGAGAGTTATATCTTGTCAGCATTGCTGTCACGACCATCACTTTACTACCTCCTGAATCTTGATTTCAAACATCCAGTTCTCTATGTTACCCTATTTTTTTCTCTCTTGTTCTATTACCATGATATAATTCTTTAACTCCATAATAACCATGTTCCAGTTACCATTTCTGTGTAATAAATGATCCACAAATTTAGTGGATTAAAACCACCATTTTAAAATACAAAGAATAATAGTCTGCAGAGTGTGGGTCCTTGGACAGGACTCCTATATTAAAATCTACCCACCCAGGGCTCAGGGATCATTGTGGAAGAGGAGTCAGAAAGATTGTAAGTCCCAGAGAGGAGGTGCATGACCATATGGAAATAGTCCTACAGGCTCCTGGGACTCTTCTCGTACAAACCTATAGCAATGGTGTCAGCATATACAAGACCCATACAAACTCAAGCAGACAAAATCCAGCACAGAACTGTGGAAATGAACAGCAGGCCCAATCTTAGTCAAAGAATTATTGGCAGCTGATTACTGCTGGGAGAGAATGAGCTGATCTTCTTAAAGGGAGGAGTTCTAGATAGACTGACTAGATCCCAGTGGATGAATTTGCACTGAGGGACATCTGGGGACACTAACTTTACATGATAGGCCTTAACACAGATGACAGAAGGTATGAACTCCAGTGGGGAGGGGCTATCAGAGGGTGTCAAAGGGGAAGGGGATATAAAGATGAAATTTTCTATACGAAATACACAAAAATTTAGTTTTTTAAAAAAAATCCACCTTTTTACTCTGCTTAGAGTCTTGTCAGATATTCTGAAAGCATTGTGATAGAAATTCTTACCTGGGGCTCTCCCCAGACTTGAATCCAGTTAAAGGTGAGTTGAGGTGGGTGTCTGAGATGGTGTGTGTACAGGGTAAACCATTTATACTGAGTCTGCACTGGAGTTCACTGAAGCCTATCCCCAACACCTCAGTGGCTTCTCTCCAGCATTATGGTCTCTATGAGTATTTAAGAATCAGGCCCTTTCTGATCCTTGAAAGTCATATGGCAGTACTTTTACCTATTATCAAAGTAGTCATAGGTCTATGCAGGTTCAAGAGTGGAGTTCTTAGATCTTTTTCTCATTGGGAGGAGTCACAGAGTTTGAAGGCTATGTTATAAAACCATGATGAATCTGTAGCCAATTTATCCTTCCAGCTCTCACTACACAGTCAACCAGTTTCTTGGAATGAATCCTCTGGCTTGTATCATCAGTTTCTCTTCCTGGCTCCTATCAGCAAACAAGCTTAATATGGTGTTAAATTAAGTGATGTATTCTTATCTCTGTTTTCATAGAGTGCAATGTCATGGGTTACAATGCTGTTATGCCTTAAAGGACAGGAGAGTATAAGAAATCCTTATGGACTAAGAAAGAAATCAAATAATTATACTTTTCAGAAAACAGATTTCTACCAGTGCAGAGGACCGTAATGACAATGAATAAAAGTTGACTTTTTAAAAGGATTGCTACTAGGGGGAGGGGTCTCTGAAATTTGCATGTTTTGACAGACTTTTTTCACATAAAATACATGCTCAGACAGTTTTATTGATCACAAAATAGTCTCACACATCTACAGTCTTTACTGCACCACAGTCATAGTTCCATAAAGGAATGCATGGCACCTTGATAAAAAAATTACTCTCAGGGATCTCTGTGAGTTCAAGGCCAGCCTGGTCTACATAGTGAGTTCAGTTCAGTTAGGACTACAGGGAAACCCTGTCTCAAAAAGACAAAAAAAAATTACTCTCGGGATCATGGATTTCAGAGAATGTCCTGTTTAGTGTGAATAGGTACAAAGCATTCCGGAGATACCACTCTGGAGAAGCTGAGACAAGTGGCCCCTCAAGTTTCCCCAGTTCCTCTCAAAGATGTAGTAAAGTTAGTAACAATGGTGTCCTGCTTGATGGGCCATTGTGCCACTATTCCTGAGGTGATATAAACAATACCAAGATAGGTCACTGGCAGCACAACAAAGCAAGAATTCTACCCAAGTCTACCTTAGTGAACTAGTGAGTTTACTGGGCTTACTTACAGGAGTACGGGTAAAGAGTTACTTACAGGAACATAGCTCAAAGCACCCACATCATCAAAAGCACACTTCAGTATGGGTGATAACTCATAAAAGTTGCATCCCTGGAGCTCTGCCTATAGGCAGTTCCCAAGTCAAGAGAGTCTCTTTCCTCAGCAATCTTTATTGCTTATATAACCT